TGAGCGAAATAAGTAGCACAAGTAATCGCATATGTCGCACCCATACAGCACCCCACCCCGTCTCGGAAACTCAGGCACATTTATAATTACTTTTATTGAGTGAAAACTTGACAGCGTCTCCGCTTGCTGCATTTTCAGACTTTGCAAGAGTCGCCCGTGAAATGAGCAAAGTTTTCCAGGGGCCGTGCTCTGTGAGCAAACTTATCTAGAGCTGTCATGTTTATTTATATAAAAATAAGTTTGCAGCGATTAGTTGATAGTTAGGCGTAGTTAGTTAGGTGTAGTTAGGCGTAGTTAGGGATTCAGTACTCAAAGCAAACAACCATGGAAATCGCATCAAAAAGTTTGTAAGTTAATCATGAAGCACATTTCAATATGAAAAAGGTTGTATACAAATGAATTGGGAACATTATGTAATATTAACTATATAATTGCATTAAAAAAACTTTATTTATAAGAAAGTGCCACAGTAAGTAAAGCATCTTAAAGCTCGCTCTTTTAATGGACTTACGAATCATTTTAAGGCACTATATCATAATTATATTTATTATTTTGCACATGATATACGGGCGTTATATGCTAAGAGAAGCAGCAAGAAGGCGGAAAGCCGTAAGAGCTCAGGCATAAATAAAACACGTATATATGACGGCCGAGAGTGCGAAGCAAAAAATAAAAGGAAACGTTGTTGAAATTGATTGCACAAGACGGCGATAGGCGACAATATGTTGTCGATAATGGATAATGCACCGCGATTTAACAGCTACCCAAGTAACCGCTCTACCCATACTGCTCCTAGCTTCGCCAACCATCCGTAAGCTCTGCTTTTAATGCACCATGCGGCTTTTTCGGCTTTTCTTCCTTTTTCTTTTTCTTTTCTTTACTGATTTTCATATGCACGAATTCTTGTTAAATGTCGTCGATATTAACGCCCCACAAAAGCTGACGAATTGCATGCAAAGACTCCGTGAGTGCCCCAACCCCTCCCCCCTGCCTCAGCGGGGGCGGCATGACGGCATGGCTGTACGTGTGGCTATTGTAGTGGCATCACAATGCAGACTTCGACATGAATCCGCAATATGAAGAAATATATATGTATATAAATATTTATATTTATATGTATAGCTCATATATATCAATATACATATGTGCATATACATACTTATATACTCTTATAGAAAGATACACGAAGACAGCGTTTGTCATATGAAAATTTAAGCAAAGAAATGAATATGTGATAAAAGATTGACATGAAATATATGCTGCATATAATATATGCACATATATATATAACTATATGTCCTCGACTATAGCTTATTAAATTATTTATAGACTGTCCCTCGCGTAACGCTAGCCATAAAATATGAATATGAATACGAAAACAATATACAAAATATATAAATCTCCCCATTCCTTTCATAATCAATATTTCAGCGGCGTTGCTCATGCAACTTGACAGATATGTATCAAATATTATATATTGTCAAAGAAATCGACCTACAATGTGTAGCCGTCAACTGTAATTACACACAATTTCATAAAGTTTCAAAATTTAAACAAAGTTTTAATTTTCATCAACAGATTTGTTTCCTTGCATTTGAAATGGAAGTAGTTTAGTCTCAAGCTTAATTTAGAGCGTTTCAGCTTTGAGCTCCTCTATAAATATAGTTACGTATAGATAAATAACTTTATTTTGCTTTGCGTTTCTTATGGAACAATGCCATTACATATGCATTTTGTGGAAAGACCCGCATGTGCAACTAAACAGAGCGAGAGAGAGAGAGAGAGAGAGAGAGAGAAAGAGGGTACGAGAGAAAGGGATGCATTATTGGAGCGAAGGGGCAGCTGTGCAAATGGCAAAGAAATCATTATTTATAGGCAATGGGTGGAAAACAGAGAGCCACAGATCAACTGCCAGACAAACAAAAAGAGAAAGAGATAGCAAGAGTGTAAGAGGGCGACAGGCAGTAAGAGAGAGTGAGAGCAACAATGCCTGGCAGACAGGACATATCGAAATAAATGCAAACTGTTGCCAAGACATACGACCTGCAGAGACCATCAATATAAATTTCAATATGACCAAAAACATATTTGCCATTAGCCAACGAGGAAAAATGCTGGCAGACCGCACAATCAAAGGAAGCCAATGGACAGCAGCCAGTTTCAAACTGTATCTGAGCAACAATAATATATAGATCAATTAAACTGCAGTTAAAAGTAAAAGCTTATCCCTAAATCAGCATTAAAGTCAACGAACGAAATGCTATATAGCTAAAGTAGAAATGAAATCGTTTTAAGTTTCTGCAAAGTTTATGCTAAAATTCTTCATTATAGAACTTGAAGAATTTTTAAGGGTTTCGTTCCAGAATTTTATTTACATTTTTGTTATAAATAAATGTGGGACTTTGCTGAAAATAGTCATCACGGAAAACTTAATAGAATTGTTCAGTAAAATGTTAAAAATAATATACAGCGACAAAAGCAAAAATTTATGGATAACAACAATTTAGTGATATAAACAATAATTTTTAAGTAAAGGCATTTTTAAATTGGTATACAATATTTATTTATGGTATAAAATATTTATTTCTTTTACATATATACCAATTTTTAAAGGCTTTTTAAACGAAGAATACTAAAATACTAATACTAAAAATATTTAGTATTATTCCAAGTATATTTTATGCATATTTTGTGGTCTAAGATTTAGTTGTAGCTCCTGTATTTTTTGTTTTTATTATAATTTGATGTGATTATCCATTGCTCCAAGAATTTGAGTTATATTTTATGTAGTTTAGCCCTGCTATTTTTATGATCACAACAGTTTTATGAAAATTGTTTGATTAACAAAAATAAATAAAACTCCTAAATGCCCCCAATTCGCTTTATAGCTGTCATACTAAACGGTTAGTGAAATATGCCCAAAGTCACTTTTCGAAATGCCCAAAACATTTAGCCAATTAGAAATCCATAGGCCACACAAAGATTTTAAGGCTAAAGCGTGCAGCAGCTACAATTAGAGCATGTGGCATCGAGCATCGAGCGAGGCTCAAGTGTGCCCCAGAGGCGACTTTGCCACATGCCTTCACAAAAAGCCAAACTTTAACATTAAACGTAATGACATCAGCTGTCGCCTGTGTCCGTCCCGTCCTGTTGCTGTTGCTGATGCTGCAGCTACTTTTGTAGACGATGTTGCTGTTGTTACTGTTGTTGTTCGTGGCACTCTTTGTAGCATACACTCAGGCGCAAGTGGCGTGTGGCATGTGGCAAGTGTAGCCAGGAGTTGGCGAGAAGCGAACCACAGAGCAGGCCAAAAGGCAGAAAGTGCAACGAAAAACTTGCAACCAGCCAACTTGCAGCTTGCAAGTTAAAAGACAAAAGCGACACAAAAATTACAGCAACTGCGGGCGGCGCAAGGGTGGATGTGGAATGTTTGTGCGTTGAAAGCGGAAGTACAGATTGGCCCAGCAGCAGGAGCAGCACGAGCAGCAGGAGCAGCAGGAGCAGGAGTGCCAGCAGCAGAGGCAAGAGACAAGAACTAAAGTGTGGAAATGTCAATTTGCTTTTGCCAGGGCTCAATGGGCAAAGAGTTGGGTAAGGCTGTGGGCGTGGTCGTACCGGAAGATGGCAACAGCAACAGCAACTGCAACAGCAACAGCCGCTGCAGATGCAGCTGCAGCAACATATATTGATTTTCAATTTGACGCCACAAGATAAAATGCCAAGAGAAATGTCATTACAGGGAAGGAGTCAAGGAGAGAAGTAATGCAGGCAGAGACTCAGAGAAAGAGACAGATAGAGAGAAAGAGTTAGGGAGGTAAGGATATCGGTTTGAGAGCCACTGCGCAAATGAACGGGCAAATGCTTAAAAGCAATTTTGCGGCTAAAAAATCCGATTTCCGTTTTGTTTCGAAATAAACGGCATGCGATAAGTTGTTGTAGTTGCTGTTGTTGTTGTTCACTTTTAGAGGTTTTTGTGTGCCGGAAATGGCTCTCGGGTGACATCAACGTGCAACGCATAGGAGCAGCAGCAGCTGCTGCTTTCAGCCGGATGCGGTAAATTAGCAGCTGCAATGGCCACTTCAAAAGCACGCACATACACACACACACACACACACACACACACACGCACACACACACACGCACACACACACACACACACACACACACACACGCACGCACACACACACGCACGCACACACACACACACACGCACGCACACACGCCAACAAGAACAAAGCACATGACCTCGTTTCACAAATTCTACTAAGGGAACAACACTCTAGTGATTATGAGATACCCTGTAAAAGAAGTAGTAAGCAACGCCCAAAACATAAGCCAAAAAAGAAAAGAAAAATAGAAGAAAAACCAATTAAAGAAATAAAAATAAAAAAATTAACTTTAAAAAAATAACAAATAAAAAAAAATAAACAAATAATTAATAAATTAATAAATAATTAATCAATAAAAAAAATTAATAAAGAAATAATTAAATAAAGAAAAAAAGACTCATTCATTGGATCTCAAAACCAGATTATGGTATCTTTAATCTGGTTTTGAGATCCAATGAATGAGTCTTTGTTTCTTAAATAATTTAAATTTAAATAATACCAATATATAATATATAAAATATACCAATTTTTAATTGAAAGAAAAATAATAATAATAAAAAAACAATATTATTAAAAAAAAATTAGAATAATAATGAAAAAAAAAAATTAATGATAACTAAATAAAAATGCATTAAATGCAGAATTCTAATATCCAACTGACATATTATTTTATCTGTAATGTCAGATATAAGAAATCAAATAAAATCAAGTATACGTGTATATATTATCTATATGTAATAAATATCCCTTGCTACTTAAATATTGAAAAATAAATCCCTATACATTTCAATTACATCATATATATATATATATATCCGGGGCTGCGAAGGCTTAAGCATCCCTTGTCAACATTAAATCTTCGCTATATTCCATCACAGATCAGACACTTACCTGTACATCAAAATTTTGCTGTTGTTGTTGCTGCTGCTGCAAGAGATTGCCTGGAGATTCCATATGATTGGGACCGCCTGTCTGTGCGCCCTGGTGATTTAACATGGGTGACTGCCGCAAAGGAGATAAAGGATATACATATTAGGTGATTTAAAGTGCTCGTCAAACTGGCAACTAGCATTGCTCACCTGTGCGGCCATTGGCATTCCGCCACCAACTCCGTTCATCATTGGCGGTTGCAATTGACTCATCTGGGCCGCCATCTGCTGATGCGCGTAAGCTGCGGCAGCACCGCTGCCCACTCCGCCGCCGCCCACCGCCGAATTGCTGCCACCAAGGGCACCGCCCATGCCGTGGCCGTGGCCCTGGCCGTGATCCATGAGCATGTGATTGAAGTGCGGCATTTGTGGGAAGCCGCCATGGTGTGTGGGATCGAGCAGTGTGGGTGGGCGTGGCAAGGTCTCTTCTGCGGGCGAGGGCTGACGAGAGCCGGGAGTGCGACTGCAATTAATAGGAAAGACAAAAATATTAATACAAATTATGATTACATAGATATTAACAGTTGTAAATGCACTGCTGTCACTTGATAAATTAACTTCAGTTTAGGAATCATTGCATTAGGGTAGAAAATCCAGTAAAACAGTTGCAAATGAACTGTGAAACATGTTCCAATAGTTTTACATTCACTGCTCATATCCTTCAACAAGTTGCAAGTAGTTACGGTTGGCAAGCATTGAAATAGTTGTGCAGCCACTGTTACAAACGAGTACCACAGGCAACAACCTACACATCCTAGACACACACCCGCGCTGTACTAAAAGCGACGACACATTTAGCACATTGCTGTCAAACTGTGCACTAACGTTTCGCAACTATTGCAGCAATTAAAAACGAATTATAAACAAAGCTACCCTAATTAGTTAAAATTAAATTTTTCATCAATTAGCCGAAGATCCATTTGCGTTTTAATCGACGTTGCTGCAGTTGGCAAGTCACTGGCAATGATTCGCCAACTGTGCGGGCAACACACACAAATGACTTAAGCAGCAAACTTGTTCGGGCTAATTGAACGAGCGTTGGGGTCTCTTACTCTATGACGTCATCACGAAGTCTGTCTTCGAACCGCAACTGGGCAATGGCTATAAATTAAATCAAATAAACAACAATTTATGCAAACTGTTTTCAACGTATGGCGCCTTAAATGCAAACGTAAATAGTCAATTTATATATATATATATATATAGATATATATATATATATAGGTATAAATAACAATTTGTATTGGCTGTTTGATTGCTTAAAGCTTTAGACGTTTCATTCATAGCTCACGTTCTGCGGCAATGCCTCTGCAACCGCTCAGTTCGTCTGCAACTGTACGCGTTTGCTTAAGCTGCTCTGTCGCTGTTGAGTCACATGTGTTATCTGCCATCTCGCTCTGACACATGCAATCGCATCGAATTGGTCATAATTTAGCTGTCGGGTCATTAACACCATTAACAGCAACAGCAGCGACTGCAGTAATCGTCCAACTGTAATGACTCTGACTAATCGTCATGGCAATGCGCTACACCAGTGCTGCCTAAACTGTTAAGCTATAACTTTTACACGTGCTAACAGTCTGATACAAACTCAAACAAATTTTATGATGCAACGCTTTTTTATGCAAAATTAAACAATTTTAATTTTAATTGAATGCAGTTGAGTGAAATTTAGCAAATTGAATTGAATTTTAAAGGAATTAGAAACAAGTAAGAAGGCTCTAGTCGAGACTGCTCGACTAGGAGATACCCTGAACCCTCTAAGCTGATATTCTAATCATTCTGCATTTTTATGCACACATACATACGCATGCATCCACATGCACGCATAAGCCTTCGCTCTGCTAACTGCGCAGTAAGCAGCGACTGCGCTTGGGCTGCGCTGCTTTGTGGGCAATATTATGAGAATTTATTTGTTGAATAATTTATTTTGTAGACATAAAATCTTAATGAAACTTTCAGAGTGTAATTATATGATGAATATGTGTGTACATTCCAAAGCACAAGTCTCTAGTACTTGAAATGCGTTTTTTACAAATTGGGGGAGAAGGGGGCGTGGTATCCAAAATCTGTAAACTACGAAATCTGTGTATCCATTAACTGTATATACAACGCAAATTTGAAGTCTCCAGGTCTAAAATTGTTCAAATTAGGCTGAAAAAACAATGCCGATTTTTCGATTATTCTCGATAAAAAAGTTATCGGACGAATTATCGAAAAAATAAAGCAAACTCGTACTGCGTATGGTACACACGAGTATGCATGCCAAATTTCAGCTCTCTAGCTCTTATAACTTCTGAGATCGACGCACTCATACGGACGGACGGACGGACGGACGGACGGACGGACGGACGGACAGACGGACAGGGCTATATCAACTCAGCTCGTCGCGCTGATCAAGAATATATATACTTTGTGGGGTCTGCCACGCCTCTTTCTGTCCGTTACATACTTTTTCACAAAACCATTATACCCTGATTTCCCATTTTCAATGGGTTCAGGGTATAAAAAGTTCTATTTAGACAACATTTTAATAAGCCGTTAAATGGTCCTTTTTTCGAATTCGAATTTTCAGCAATAAATTTATCCAAATATTTTGAATGCAAAAATTACTCAAATAGAGCTGAGTTTCTATTTGACTACTGCAATTTATTAGATCCCACAGAGCACAAGCTTCATGCATTCGTTGAGGAATTCCATTTACACAGCTTGGCAAATGGTCAAAAGACCTGCTTTCCACCATCAACTTGTGCTAGGTCAGTTTCAATGGCCAATGTTTTGCTATTCCGTTTCTAGCTGCGGGTCCAAAAATCTCATATTCTAATCTCGCTTATGCAATAGGCGCAACAAAATCTAAGCAAGAAAAACGAAATTTTTCATTTTCAACGGCGACCAAAAAGAAAGTGCGCAGCCGGTATAATAAAAAGGTCAGCAGAGCACAAGTTGACCAAGTTAACAGGCAGACAACTACAACAACAGCAGCAACAACAGTAGCAGCACAATCTGTTGCTGCTGGCCATGTCTATGTCGAGAGTAGGTCGCCGGACAGGTGCTCAGGTGTAGTAACTGAAACCACAAACGCCAACGGCTTGAAAACTCGAACTCAAGCCCCCAGCCCAAAGTTGGGGCTGTTGCCACAATTTGCAGCCGTGTTTCAAATTTTCGCAACTAAATTTCAGTGTGCGGCGTACAAAATGTGAGCCAAAAAAAAAAAAAAAAAAAAAAAAAAAAAAAAAAAAAAAAAAACAAAAAACAAAAATAACTACAAAAATAAATTTGGTACATACAAAATTGATATATAAAAAAAAATTAAATAAAACGAAACCCGAGGCAGCAACAAAAGCAAACATAAACGCAAACTAATCGAACAAAATGCTATACCAAAACAGCTCAATGGAGCTATAAAGTTGTTGCTATCCGAATCATGTTGCTGTTGCTGTTGTTGTTGTAGTTGTTGCTTGCTGTTGATTACTTACATCATAACCGTTATTACGTTTGGCATTGAAACACGTTTTGGCTGCGCCGCCGACACCGGCAATGAAATTGCAAAACAACAAAAGCAACAACACCAATTGAAAGAGAAAACCGGCAGACCAGAGCCAAAGCACACAATAAGAACAACAAAAGCAACAACAACAGGCCGAAGACACGACTACAACTGGTTTTTATTTTTTCGGTCTGGCTAGGCTCTGCAAATGGCCAGAAAACTTTAAAAGGCCTCAGGTTTTAGGCAGTGCGTGTTTTGTAAGCGACAACTGAAATATGATTACAATGAAAGCGAATTGGGTTTGCGCTACAGCTGAGGAGCGACAGAGAATAGTCAGAGAATGAATAAGAGAGTGAGAGTGAGAGAGAAAAAGAAAGAAAGAGCGAGATATCGTATATTGTATAGGCAAATGGAGAGACACAGAATATGAAGAACTATCGACATAGATAGCAGAGAGATGTATAAAAAGGGAGAGAAAGATAGAAATAAAGAGAGACAGATAGAGAGAGAGAGATAGAGAGTGAGATAGAGATAGAGAGATAGAGATAGAGAGAGAGAGAGAGAGAGAGAGAGATAGAGAGAGAGAGAGAGAGATAGAGATAGAGAGAGAGAGAGATAGAGAGAGAGATAGAGAGGGAGAGAGGGGGTAGATAAGAGAGGGGTAGATACAGAGAGAGGGGTAGATATAGATACTAAGATGAGCGAGACTAAGATATTGAAGATCTGCTGACAACGGGATAAATGACAAAGAGATAAATATGGAGACATATTACAACAGTGGCGAATCAAAATAATGAGGCGCGAAGATATAGAAGAGAAAGAAGATAAATTGAAAAAGAGAAAGCCCCAGTGAAAATCAGAAGACGAATTAGAGACAGTCAAAAATCAGGGCTCAGAATATAAGAGAAATTAACGATTTTATGTTATGAACTCAGCTCTAATAGGATTTTCCTATATTCGTAGGCTTTACTAAAGTAATATAATACAATACAAAATTAATCAAACTGAAATATTTTATAATAAATAACTCTAGAATGTTTGTAGTTCTTGTTATATATAATATATTCAAACTGTCAAGTATTTCAAACTCTTAAAGACATTTTATATTTCGCAATAAACAACTTGGGCATCCTCATGTCGTTGCAGTTCATATAGAAAGTGCTTCGAAAGACCCAACCTCTAGACATATAAAACACTTGACAATAAAAGAAAAAATTGAATCATCTTTCGATATGCGAGCTCCACAACAAGAGGACAGAAATACAGAGAAGACGAGCAAAATAATTACAGCAAAGGCGATAAAAATTCAGCAGCAACAGAAAAAAAAAAAGTGGGCCAAGTGGGCAGCATTTGACAAAGTGGGTGTTTTATTGTTGACTCAACGAATCTTAACTGACAATTGGGGAAAAATGTAAACTTTGCCGAGTCTACACATGCACATGAAATATCGACTGCAAACTATTGACCGCATTTGCAGTTCATTGATATTTTAATTACATTTGTAATAAATAAAAAACTTAAGTGAGAATAAATTTAATGAAAGCCCAAAGAAACAAATTGTTAGTTTAGAAAAAGGTTTCAATTTTATAAAGTTATTCGGCAATCAAGAAATATGGCTAATGAACTTTGACTTCTAATTGGGATAACGAGAACATGAAATACAGAGAACATGAAATACAGTTTTGCGGAATTAATGAATGTCTATCACAATATTCTTTAAGATTTTCGAACATATTTACTCACATGCTTACATTCCTTCAAGATCTGCCTCTAACAACAAATATAGGCATTTATCCTATCTGCTTTACATATATACAAAATACATGGAGTACCTCATACGACCCGCCTCTCGGCCTGTACCGAGTGTTACATGGAACTAGATCTCGCTTGGAGACAGAATAAACAAGCAATGAAACTATACTCCCCACTCTAATACACCAGCTAGAGTACTACGATACAAAAGAAAGCGCCAATGACTTATAATTCGCCACCTAGGCTAGATTTACAGCTTATCATGCTACAAATGGTCGAGTACAAATTGCTAAATAGCAACAGCAAACTAGAAAAGCATTAATAAATGACAATTTTATACAGAATACAAAAACAAATGTCGTAATAATAAAGATTAAAATCTCAGTAAATAGATCAATAGATTTTTAAAATTCTAAGACTAAGAGACATGAATATAAATCAGGTTTACCTCTAACAGTTCTCATTCGTTAATAATATTCTCTCTGCCTCAAGCCAAACATAACTTCACTTGCAACTTGCAACTGTTGCAACTCTAGTGCTCCCGGTTGCCCCTTCTCGCTTGCACGCAATACAAGAACGTGTCTTGTTGCGGACCTTGAAGAAACCAGTTTCTGGCCATGGCTTAGGCCTACAGCCTAGCCATTCTAATGTCAATGCCATTGGCCAGACTTGAACTAGACACTGAGACAGTCAGAGAGATAGACAGACAGACAGACAGACAGACAGTAGAAAAGTTGATCAGTCTGATCTGATCTGGTTCAACATGCAACAGAGTCTGAGCTACTCACTTGAATCCCTTGTCATCATCAATGCCATTGACGACTCCATTTGTGTTTGTGACTTGGTCATCCTTCTTTAGCCCGTTGGTATCAAACGGCGAGCTTGCCTTTTCCTTATCATCGTGTGACTGTAAGATTAATTATATATTATATACACATAACTCTCATTTGTCTGCTCTCTCAGCTTACCTTATCATTATCGTCAAATTTCAAATTGCGCATTCGCGGCTCCAAGCTGGACAAGGGGCTCTCCTTGTTGGTGGGTGAGCCACCCAGAACATATTCAACCATCTTAACGCATGTTGAATCGCGGGGGCTATGCGGCAGCAAGAGATATGCAAATTAATTATATATCTATATGTATTATATAATTTAACTTAACAGAATTGGTCAACTCACCTCAGAATGCCCGCATTGCCGCTGTTTGAGTTATCTGAAGCGCCAGCATGTGGATAACCACGCGGCCTTGGCGGTGCCAATATGTTCTCGCCCTGTGTGGACCATGTGTGATCTTTCCATACGGACGAGTGATCCCCGACGCCGGGAATCTGCAGTGGATTGAGTGGACCGCCTGCTGTAGCGCCGCTCTTTCCGTCCGATTTCTCCCACAGCTTCTTGGCTGTCGATGTAGTTATCTGCAAGGGAGAGAGAGAGAGACAGAGATAAAGAGTGAGTAAGGTGTTAGGCAAACCGCAAAGTACACGAGAAAAGTTTTTCTACAACATAAACGAATCAGAGGCAGATGAGCAGCAAAGTTTTTGCATTTGCCTGATGCAATTGAATTATTAACAAAATCAATAATTCAACCTACAGCATACCCCCTCTGCCCCGCCCCATCTGTCATAGCGGAGGCAGTCAGTTTCCTGTTGAAGCGTGTCGTTTGCCGCCGCAGCGACCGCTGGCGTGGATGATAAGTTTTTCTCGACTTTTACACCTAATTCCACACTAAATCCCAGCTACGTCCATCACAGCAAAGTTTTTATAATCCTCAACTTTAATGCAAGCCCCGCCCTTCATTCATCCTGACAATGTACCCATACCCCCGACCCCCCACCCAATCCATGCACATCCTGCATTTTCCAACAGGCTGCCGCACAAGCAGCATTGCTAATGAAATCAAATTAGCTGCAGTTGGACCTTTAATGAAAACTACGTGACAATTGCCTTGCTTTGCTGAATCACAGTTCATTACGTAACTATTATACATATATAGAAACTGGACGCAAGTTCAACTGCAGAAATATGCATTCAATATCAGAAAAATCTCTTTTAACTGAGCTCTGCTTGAATAGTTATTAAATATTTAATTTATTTGTTTATAGAAATTTACATTCAATTAGGACACCTTTCGTAACTAATACTTTACGTTAACAGTACGTTACATTAAACAAGAAAATTAAAAGAGTTACGTTATCAGAAGATAAAGGGAACTGGCTATACGAATTTATTGTTATTCGCTATGTATGGCTTACGTACTTACGTAAGTGGAACGGATGTTGCTGTGAAGTTTTAAGTACCGTTGATCGTTAAAAGAATATTATTTTTCGCTATGTATGCCTTACGTAATTACGTAAATGAAATATACGTAGCTCTAACGCTGATCGCTAATCGTTAAGACAATTGGATGTAATTTTATTATTTTTCGCTATGTATGCCTTACGTAATTACGTAAATGGAACATACGTAGCTTTAAAGAGTTTGAAGTCATTGATCGTTGAGAAAAATGGATGTGATTATGTTATTTTTCGCTATGCATGCCTTACGTAATTACGTAAATAAAACATTCTTAGCTTTAAAACTAATCGCTAATCGTTAAAACAATTGGATGTGATTTTATTATTTTTCGCTATGTATGTCTTACGTAATTACGTAAATGGAACAAACGTAGCTTTAAAGTTAATTGCTAATCGTTAGGACAATTGGGTGCGATTTTATTATTTTTCGCTATGTAAGCCTTACGTAATTACGTAAATGGAACAGCGTATCTTTAAAAAGTTTAAAGTTCATTGATCGCTTTTGAGAAATGGATGTGATTATATTATTTTTCGCTATGTATTGCCTTACGTAATTACGTAAATAGAACAGATAAGCTTTAAAGCGTTCGATGTTCATTGATCGTTAAAATAACTGGATGTCTTTTTATTATTTTTCGGGAATTATGTGTTACATAATTACATAAATGGAACATACGCAGCGTTAAAACTTTAGAAGTTCGGTGATCGTTAAGAGAACTAGATATGATTTTAATTTTTTCGCTATGTAGCCTTACGTAATTACGTAAATGGAACATACGTAGCTCTAACGCTGATCGCTAATCGTTAAGACAATTGGATGTAATTTTATTATTTTTCGCTATGTATGCCTTACGTAATTACGTAAATGGAATATACGTAGCTTTAATGCTGATCGCTGAACGTTAATACAATTGGATGTGATTTTATTATTTTTCAGTATGTATGCCTTACGTAATTACGTAAATAGAACAAACGTAGCTTTAAAACGTTCGAAGTTCGCTGATCGTTTAGAGAACTGGCTACACGAATTTATTATTTTTCGCTACGTGTAGCTTACGTTATTACGTAAATGGAATGTATGTAGATGTACAAAGTTGTATGCTCGTTAATCGTTAAGAGAACCAAATATACGATTAATTATGTAAAAGGAGCGTAATCAATAATAATATCAATTGACGTAGCCAAATTGAATATGAATGGTTGATTACGTAGCCTAAAACGTTTCAAGTTCGTTGACCGTTGATCATTATATAAATTATTTTTAACAACGTAAAACAAACTGTTGAGGGTATATGAAATGCCTCATTTCCGCATATAAATAACATAACAGCATCGGTTGACGTAAATAACTAAGTCTAAAATTGATGTTTACGTAACTTTAAAAATCAAATATATATCAATCAGGTTTGATATGGTATGAATAGCAATGTTCATTCAAGTAACTAAAGTATAAATGCATTGCTAATACCATTAATTAACGTACAGAAGCTACGTAATGCTTAAATAACAGCAAGCATTTATCTAGCCCCAGACCTCATTCTTGTGCACAGTAGGTGCACTGTTAGAGCGTTTGGGCCACTGACCCCACAGGGCGTCATTCGCTTTAGAGATATAAATCATATAGGAGCCAAACGTCGAGCGGCAGTCGTCACCCTGAAAGGCGGGAGCAGTGAATCAGAAGCACATCAAAGACAGTGCCCAGACCGTAGACAGCAGACAGTAGTTACATTGCTCAGCTGTAAATCAAGCGACAACTTATGAGAAGCTTTGAAAGGAGGCATTGCCGTTGCCGTTGACAAACTGACAGCACTGCAAATGGACAGTGCGATTGAGAGGGCAATATAAACCAGAGAGAGACAGCGAGAGAGCAGAGAGAACAGTTGACGGGTTTGCTTCATCAGTCAAGCAGCTGCCGCAACTAAAAGCCATTTGCAGCAACATAGTCTGTGCACTGCAACAATTTAGAGATTTCACTGTAAATATAAGAACTGAGAGACAGACAGAAACAGAACTATTGCGTAAGAGAAATATAGAGAGACAGACATATTCTTGAGCGATAAGAATGTAACTGAATTTATAGCCCTTTACATATCGAATAGCCTGAAATCATATCGTGGCACTGATATCTGCTACTGTACAATCCCATTGTGCCCCCAAGCTCCACCGCCCTGAGATCTGAGGCATGTGTTGCAGCCTCGTGAAAATGTACTTAATTAACTTTCATGTCACATGGGTTTTTATTATTGTTTCAATTTATTTCGTTTTTCTCCCATGGCATTTGCGTTGTCATAATGCGTCAACGCGACACGCGCGGCACGTGCCACGGTTGCCAGTGTATTTATGCCCCATATATGGCAGCATCATTTTAAATATTTAATAAGCCCATCACACACATATCCATACATACACAGTCGCGGCAACTGTTGAGCCGCGAGTCTCATAAATACTGCTAAACGAGGCAAGGACACAGAGCCTACAACCCTTCGTCCCTCTCTTTGATCTTCTCCTTAAGAGCGATTGCTGAAACTGAGCTGGAAACTCTCGTTTCATTCCAATTTTCATTGGACTTATCCAACATACTTTACTCAAATTGAAATTCGAGTGCGAAATGCAAATTGAATGTAATTTAATTTATTTTATTAATATGTTTACTATGAATAGAAAGAAAACATTTTGAAATTAGTGTACTTAATCTATATTAAAAGGTGAAATAATGTTGTCTACATTTCAGATCATTGTTTATTATTATTATTCTTCCACTTCTGCGCTATGCACACGGCACAAGAGGTTACACCCTATCCAATTTCACATCAAATGATATCGTATGCCAATGCAAACTATTTCAGGGTTGATGGAAACTCTTTCTAAGTGGGCGATGACAACCTTGCGCTATAAATTTTCAAAAGTCCCAAACGCAACTCAAAGGTGACAAAAGAAAAACTCTGCCGACACGGGCACACACAAGCAAAGCGCACAAATTGTTTGTTAGACAATATTTGCATAGGCCAAAACTAAAACTCAAACGATGCAAAAAACGGTCCAAAGGTATAAAAAAAAATAAAATAAAATTTAAAGTTGCATTGCCAACGAATAAGCAATACCCTTTTATGAACTAGTACAACAATTTGGAACTTAACCTTTCCATCTCTATCCATTTTCCCAGGGTATTCAAAACAAAATTTTAACTGATCGACTGAAAAGTGTGAAAGCGCCAACAAACAACAAATTATTTCTGCCAACTGGGCTCGTCGCACCGACTGTTTCAATAACAAAAGCAACAAAATAAAAATAAGCCACAAAAGGTGTTAATAAACAATAATATTTTAACGCAACTAAACACATTTCATAATAATAATAAAATACAAAAAAAAGCAACGTTTACCAACCATATGCTCAATGTGGGTCAGCTTCAAAGATAACTATTCCACGCCCACGCGAATATTGAATTAAAATTAAATATTTTTATCCAATATGAATCGAAAAAAAACTAAATTCATTTTTTTTTTAAATATTTTTTCTCTGTTAAGAAAAATAGAACAATAAATAAAACTGCGGCGCTTAGCAAAAGACAAATAAATGAAAAGAAAGTGAAGCTATAATAATAAGCAACAAAAATGACAACAATGTTATCAAAAGCCTTCACTGCAAGATACCCTGTGTTTAGTAGAATCAAGAGACTGATTCTGTCAAATAAAGCAAATATTGAATGCCAAAGAGTATTGACTGATAAAAGCGACATGAAAACAACAGAGTTTCCAGTTCATATTCAACTACGCCGTATTCGGCTTCTATTGGAAATTTTGAAAAAATTAAAAATAAAAATGATTTGATTATATTCTATATGTTTGCGTTCTTAAATTGATATTCTTTGTATATTTTTAGACTTACTACAAAACAAAAACCAATAAAGAATTCATTTTTCACATGAAAGTACAGGGTATAGTCTGGAAAAATAGCTTTTTTAGCACTTTTACCGCCTTTCATTCAGCCCATCGGCAAGAAAAGAATATAAAAAAATATATATAGATATATATATTTTTGCATATATAAAACAAAAAACAAATTTTGAACTGAATAAGCAGCAGAAAAAGAGAAAAAAAAACAACAACAAATTGAAAGAC